TTTCCCAGCGCACAGAGCGCCTCATTCCTGATCTCCATCCTGAACTCCTTTCAGTGTATGTTGGAGATCAGCAGATACATCAGCTCATGATTTGATCCTTGTAGAGGTAGAGGGCAAGTTCCAATTTTTAGTTGACACTAGAGTGCCTCACCAAACCCAGATAAAGATTTCACTGACTAGATTACTAGTTTATCATAAAAGGGTATAACTCAAGAAAAGCCAGGTTGAAGAAACACATAGGGCAAGGTATGTGGGAGGTAATGCAGAGCTTCCATGCTCTCTGGAATCTCCTTTCTCACCAAAATTCCATGCATTCACCAACACAGAAGCTCTCCATATGTCCTATTTGGTTTTTATGGAGGATTTATTATACAGGCATGATTGGTGATTGATTGATTGAACTCAATCTCCAGCCCCTCTCTCCTCCTAGAAGGTTGGGAGTGAGGTTGCGGGGTGGGTCAGACTTAAAAGTTTCAGCCCTCTAATCATGGAAGCTGGTTCCCCCTGACAACCAGTTCGCACGCAGCCTTGGGTTACCTAGGGGCTTTCCAAAAGTCACCTTATCAACATAACAAAAGACATCTTTATAGCTCTCATCTCTTAGGAAATTCCAAGAGTTTTAGGAGCTCAATGCCTGGAACAGGAGCAAGGTCTTCCAAAACAGATATGTATATATCAACTGAAAAAGTGCATCACCTAAATGTTGAGAATTCTGTTTTATTCAGTGGACTTACTGAGGACTTAAGCCCAGGATACAGCCTCTAAGATAGCTCTGAGGGACTATTCCAAAGAAGTAAGGGAGAAGCCAGCATATATAGGAGTTTTTGCTGAAAAAGTATCATATAGTATCACATCAAAAGATTACAGCTAATCACAGAAAACAGACATCTCAAGTTATTGATTTTAATGCCGTTCTGTGTGTGAAAAGACACAAGAGTCCAGACTCATTGAAATGGTCCCTTTGATGTGCACCTTAACTATCTGGGGCCATTATTCTGTTACTCTCCATCCTGAATTCCCCTCAGGGTGCCCCAGTGGGGGCGGCTGCAATGGCTGATGCCTTTACACGGCCACAACATCCTTTGTTTACTAAAATAGCAGGGGATGCTCTTTGTTCACAAATATATTCACCTTCCTGGGTCTTTTTAATAACACAGACCAGGCAGTGTGGTGCATAATTAAGCGGAAGCTCCTTTCTAGCAGGAACTTTGTTGCAGGCACAGCAGCACAGCAGTGGGGCTCCGGAGGGGACTGATGACTTCACCCCTCCAAGTGTGACACACATGCTCAGGGACTCTGGCCCCAGACCCGCTAAACTTGAACTTCTGTTGTCAATGAAAAGTTAATCAGTAGATTTTAGAAAGAAATGGAAAATTTTATTTGAGCCAAGTTGAGGATTATAACCCAGGAACAGCATCTCAAAGAAAAAAACAAACAAAAGTTCTGCCCATCAAAATCAAAGCACAGTTTTTAGGGATAGAAGGATGTACATCAAATGAGGTATTATCGACAGTTTACACAATCCAGATCGGCAAGTAGAAAGTGGGGGGTCGTGTGGCCCCCTCCTTGCAAAACCTAGAAGGATGGCTCTCTTTTAAGGAGTTGTCTTGTAGATGCTAGGATAATGTTGCTCTTCTTACGACTGAGCAGGCATTTCTGCTGATGGGGGAGGTTTGGTCAATGCATAATCCAGATACACAATGCACAGTAGAAGAGAGAGAGGCGGTCAAAGGGCAGAGAAATTTTGTGTCTAAATTTTTCTTCTCTTGCCATTAAAATATGAATCTTATTCCATAGGGTGTTAATAATGTCCCCGTGTGATTTGTGGAAATGACCACCTCAGAGGCACAGATCAGACTAAAGCCACTTAACGTCCCTAGTGCAATGTATAGAGCTTGGCTGGAGCCTGAAGACCACCCAGTGTAAAGGGGGCCTTTGTGAGGCAATTCAGAAAATGTTAATTTGGCCTAATAGATAAAACCAAGAAATTACAATGGCACTGTGCTTATGTTGCAAAGGCACTATTTTTCAGACATGGGTTCTGAAAACAGAAAGCACAAACCCAAACTTCTGCCACTTCCCCTGATAATGTTTATGGCCACTGTTTTTTTTTATTGTTAAAAAGACAGAGGCCCAAAATGGAGTCACTTGCGCTAAGCCCACACTGCCAAACCACGGCTTAATGCCTCACCTAACTGCAGTGCCAACCTTCCCCACAAACGTAGTCTGAACCAGCCAGCTTGGAATTTTCTGTTCAGCACACACAGACCCTTTCCATCTCCAAAAGGAAGATGAGGTAATCTGCTCTTCCCTTATGCCTTCCCCTGTCTGCCCACAAAAGCCTTCCAGTTTGTACAGCTCCTTGGAGCTCCTCTCTACTTGCTAGAAGAGATGCCGCCCAATTCATGAATCATTCAGTAAAGCCAAGTAGATCTTGAAAATGTACTTGGCTGAATTTTTTTGTCATTTAACACAATCTATGGCCTAAAACACCCAGAACCCCCTCTTCCTGGGCACACTGTTAAGTTGCACTTCCCACTCCTCTGAAATTAGGCCAAGTGACCTTGCTTGGCAGATAAAAAGAGAAAGAAGTGACAAGTTTTAGGAGCCCTGCGTGCAATTTGTCGCATCCCCTATGCCAGCCAACTCACAGCCTCCATGGGCACCAGAATCACCTGCAGGGCCTATTAAACAGATCCTGGGTGCCACCCCAGAACTTCTGATTCAGTACCTCTGGGGAGCTGGGGCCTGAGAATGTTCATTTCTAACAAGCTTCAGGTGATTTTTTTTGTTGCTGATCTGGAGAATATACTTTAGGAACCAAGGTTCTAGAAAAATCCTCTCTGGGCCAGCGTCTCTGAGTGCTACCTCCTTATTGAGCCATGTTTAAGACAAAGGATGGGTGACAAGCAAATATTTCTTCTGTTCTCATTTCACTGGAAGATTTTCATGCCCAAACTGAAAGAGCACATCTCACAAAGCATAGAATTCTCAAAACGCACAAGTCCTCAAGAAGATAATACTGTTTTGGTTAGAGAATGGCTTGCTCAGCTTTGGTTGGGTTCCAGGCACACAAATCGTCGTGGAATTAATGGTACAGAGCTGCCAAGAGGTCCTGGGACACATCTGAAGGCACACCCGCCCCCTTGGTCCTCTTCTACCTGGTAATAGGACAGCTACTTCCAAGATACACCTCTACAGTCCTCTAAAGGAAGATGACCTTGTGATGACCAATCTAATTTTTGCTAGTATAACTTCATTGTTCCTCTCCCTTCAGGTTATAAAAGTCCTTCATTCCGCACAGTTACTTGGAGCTCTTTTCCATCTGCTGGATGGGATACTGACCAATTCATGAATCACTGAATAAAGCCAGTAAGGTCTTTAAAACTTACTGAGTTGCATTTTGTTTCTTAATAGCTCATAGAATCCAGCTTCCTGTTAATTGGATATCGAACACTGTTGGAGCCAAAGGAGGGTGGGGCCAGCCTGAGACAAGATTTAACACTGATTTCTCTGACACCAGAGCCATAAATCTCTGTCCAGCAGGCAGCCGCAGAATGTAGGCAGCTCCAGGAATGGCCCCACCCCTAGGCACCTTAAGACAGGTCAAGATAAGTGAGGGCTATAAATCTGAACTGGACTCAATTAATGTCCAGGCACCTCTGCACACCGTCTCTGCTACAAGTTCTGTCAGCTGGCGTGTTTTCCCCTTCTTATCGCTGAGGTCCCTCCCTCCAGCTGAGTGCACCTGTGTACCTCCATGTCTCTCTTCCTCTTCCATTCAACTCCTTTCATCTTCTCCAATTCTCGTGATGTTTTCTCTTATGATTTCATAACATTTTCCGTTTATGATTCCAGGTCAACTTGCCTCTCTCAGATTCTGCCTTTTCGTCCATCACATTCTCTCTGGTTATGCCTTTAAAATATATTTTTAAAAAGTAATTCAGTTCGGAAAAAATACAAATAACGAAAGAGTTTATCCAAGATGGCAGGAGGATTAAATACCTGGCTGCATGTTTTTTAACCTTGAGTTTGTTTTTTTGTTGTTGCAGACACAGCTTCCCTCTCTCTAAGGGAGACCATCCTAAGGCCTCATGCTTTTCTGGTTATTGACAGGCCCCTTCCAACTGGGTGGTGTGAATGAAAACTACTGCAAACCGTATCAGTAAACAAAGAATGCTGAAGCCATCAAGTCATCAGCCAGTGAAGACAAGCCTGCAGCCCGGCCTCTGCAGCCACTAAAACTGGGTGCCCTCTGAGGGGACCCGGAATAAGAAAGGACAGGACACTGGCCCCAGATAGCCAGGTGCTTGTCAAAGGAGTGAATTCAGTGAGCCCAAATGTTTGCTTCCTCCCATACATAGAAAAGCCCTAAATTCTTTAACTTGAGATGTCTGGTTTTCCTTAGATAACAAGTAATCTTCTATTGTTCCTACTACCTGGTCTTTGTTGTAAGAACTCCATTATATATCCTAGCTCCTGCCCTACCTCTCGGGAGCAGTCCCTCAGAGCCATCTGAGAGGCTGTCATCCCAGCTCGAGTCCTCCCGCCAAACAAAATGTTAACTCTCAACTTTCAGGCTGCGCACTTACTTCAGTCGACAGTAGCCATGGTCCCTCGGCTAACTGCGACTGTTTGAGGGAGAAGGAAGAACTTGTGACTTGAGGGTTCAGAAAGTACGTCCAGTGTGGAAGCAGGGCTTGGGTAAAGGTCAGCTGGACGAGGACCAGGTGGGAGAAAAGCACGAACGCCTGCTCTCACCCCAGGGTGCAGGGGCAGGTGGGCTCCTGGCCTCTCTCTCCAAGGAGAGTGGGAGCCTGAAACCCCAGCAGCAGCACTGAGGTTAGAAGGAGGGAGAGGAGATGCTCTTCGAGGTCCCCTTATCCTTCCCGACAGGCCCCAGGACCCTCCTCCTGGGAAGCCCTTCGTGTGAGGAGTTCCTACCCTTCCTCCCACTCCTTCCCCAGCCCCCAACCCCTGTAAAAAAAACCCTGTCTTACCTCCAAAGAAGGCGCGGCTGAAATCCCCTCCTGGTGGACGTGGAGCAGCCCCTGCCCTTCTGCCTGTTATCACAGAAGTCACAAGCAGAGGAAAAGGAAGAGGGCAGCGCAGGCCTGTGAGATGAAGCCGCAGCTGTGGAAGGAGCGTCTCCTCTTGCCAAACTCCACGGCCCCAATCGCCATTCTATCCTAGATCACAACGTTCCTCTATCCTAAATGGGAAAGAAACTCATCTTGACACCCCCTCCCCCAACTACGGTGATGTATGTCAGCTGGTTTATCCCTGCTGTGCTGTGAGCGCCACCTGCCGGCTGTGGGGAAGGACACACCACCGCCCAGCACTGCAAGTTCCTCCACCACAGTGGACAGTCATCACCTCACAGCCAAAGCAGCAATGTCCAGCTGTCCTCCACTGCCCTAATCAACCCCAGCCTGGAAGTTCTCATGCTCTGACTTCGAACCCCCCCACTGTCTCACATTCTCCACCAAAACCCCTCTGACGGGCCCCAGCCTTCCCCACTAACCATATAATTTTAGTGATTTTGGTTTAGACAACCTCAGAAATTATCTACCCAGTTCAGCCTCTCTTCTTGCAGACTGGAACACCAAAGCACAGAGGAGCTGTGTGGGCTCATTCAACGTGCGCACAGAGCCTCGTGGCAGGGCAGGGCAGTGATGCCCTCTCTGGACAGCGCGATCAGGTGCTTTTCAATCCTGCGTTACGTCTACCCCCTTCACACTGGAGTGCCCCAGTTTAGATCATACATGACATACAGTCACTCTACTGAGTGACATGGAGTCACAATGCCTACTGCACCATGTTGACTGTTGAGGGAGATGGAATCAGGATTGACCCCAATAAGTCAAAAGCGCTTTGAGGAACTTAGGTGGGGGCATTGATTCAGACCTGGCTGGAGGGCCGGGGAACTGGAGCTCAAAAGGCCCACAAGGATCAGCAGGGCCTCCCAGACAGAGAAATTGCTTAGTGCTTTGCTTTTATGCTTCTGTAAAACAGCCTGCTTTAGGGAAACCGAAACTAACCCCTTCCCACCCCGCAGAAAAACCTAAGACCACGTGATTTCTTTGTTCCTAAAACCCTGTAAAAGCTCATACAAACTTGCAATCAGGGTCCAGAGCCGGGAATATTAACTCCTCTGGGCCCGCCGGTGTAAATAAACCTGAGTTCTCCAACCCTCTGAGTGTCGCTTGGTCTCTTGACGGGATTCAGCTTTCTGTAACAGAACCAGGAAGGCCTTTGGTCAAAAGTCCACATGAGCTGAGCCTCAAGTCACAGGCAGAAATCTAACAAGTTAAGTGAGAAAACTTGTGCGGAGAATATACGCACGTCTGTGGGCAGATGTTTGGTGGAGAGTGCTGTGTGCCAGGCCCTGAGAACACCAAGATGGGGCACACACGAGCCCTAGGCTGGAAGAGCTCAGGACAGATTTCAGAAGAGTGAGGCATGGGGACAGGAGGACTGGTAGGAGAGGGTGGGGCTGAGGGGCTGCCTGTTACCTCCTCTCTAGCCTATGGCCAGGGGCTGGTTCAGAGCTTCAGAGAGTGGGCCCCATTTCCGATGCCCCTGCTCTCTTGCCTAACCTCCCAGAGCCCTCCTTGACTACAGCCCTCAGTAGTTATCTAGTTTTCACTGCTCCGAGTCACCAATTACCTGTGTGCACCCCCGGGTTCCTTACCTGGATGTCCCACCCACAGTATTATGCTTTCTAAATAAGCCCTAACACAGTGCGCCAGTGTTTTGCACTCTGAAAGATCCTGGTAAATATTCTTAATAAACTATACACATCCTTTTGCAAGCCAGTGAAACGTGGTCCCCTGTTCCCCTCAATTCAGGCTATGGTCCAGAATGATGGTAGGCAGAAGACTAAGGGATTTCCCAAAGGGGAAATGGAAGGCGGCAGAGGAAGGGCAAGGGATGGGACATTAGGGAGGACGACAGAGGAGGTGTGTGAAGTCTGAGGAGACAGGGCACATTAACAGGCACAGAACATCTGGTCTCAAATGACGGCCACCCCAAAAGACCTGGCCGTTTTCAGACAGCTGACTTTTCCAAGGACATGCAGAGATGCAAGAGGCCCCTGTGGGGCCAGACAGGGATCAACTCTGGGGTATGGACCCCAACCCCCACCCCACCATGTCCCCAGTCCCCCTGTCAAGCGTCCAGGAGGCGAACCTCACAGTCCTGCGAAACTAACTCTGTAATTGCGTGCAGCACTTAAGACCCAGATCGCGCCTGGCCCGCTTTCTGGTGGTTGCTGCCCCCTGCCGACAGAGCAAGACCATGACAGCCTGAGAAGCCCATCAAGGCGGAGTAAAAACCGGAATGATTCCTCAAGAGGGAAAACCAACCCGCAGTGAGCTCTTTATAAAGAGCCTCCTTGTCTAGCACAAGATGGGAGGAGGCTTCCTTACGTGAATGCCATTGCATCCTGAAGCTTCAGGAAACTGCAGCGTGGATCATTGTAGCTGTCATCCATTGACCTGGCATCATGCTAAGCACGCTGAGATGTTCTCATTTTACAGGTCATAAACATCCCCGGGCTGTGGATACAGATACTGACCTCCTAACCATGGTACTAACAAAGTACAGATCTTCCTAGACTTACAATGGGGTTACAAATCGATAAACCCATCATTCAGTTGAAAATGCCCTAAATCAAAAATGCAATTAATACACTTAACCAACCTTAAATGTGCTCGGAACACTTACATTAGCCTACAGCTGGGCAAAAACATCTAACATAAAGCCCATTTTATAATAGTGCTGAGTACCTCATGTGGCTTATTGAATACACTACTGATACGGTGCAACACAGAACGGTTGTGTGGATACAGAATTGCCGTTCGCCTTCAAGGCTGTGTGGCTGACTGGGAGCTAGCTGCGGGGTACCCACCGCGCAGCCTCAAATCACTAGCCCAGAAGATCAAAATGCAAAAACTGTTTCTGCTGAATGTGTGTTGCTGTCACACCATTGTAAAGTCAAAAAAATCAGTAAGTCAAACTGTTGTAAGTCAAGGACCATCTATAACCTGGGGGGGTGGGGGTGGGGTATAGCTCAAGTGGCAGAGCTCATGCTTAACACACAGGAGGTCCCAGGTTCAATTCCCAGAACCTCTTTCAATAATAACTGTGTAAATCTAATTACCTCTCCCCACCAACCAACCAACCAACAACCTTGAATAAATTTGGATTGGGGAAGAGGGGTCACAAAGGCATATTTTCTGAGCCCAGCTACGTACTTAAGGGTGACACAGTTCAAAAGAAGTCGTTACCACTATAACATATGACATGGCACAGAAATGGGCAAGAAGACTCCACATCTCCCATAAACTGACCATCTCTTGCTTACTTTAAAATTCCTTGACCATCCTGGTATTTCTCAGCTCCCTTCCCCCCTATAAAACTTCCTAAGAGCTGACTACATCTACCCTCTTCTTTCTCACCTCTAGTTCCTTAACTCAGGTGCTCAGGAGTTTGGACTCAGAGCCCGACTGCCTCTATCACTTCCTACAAGGCTAGAGGCTGACTGCACACTCTTACATGCCTGTATTTTCATCTGTGAAAAAGCAACTGCACATTACCCCGCAATGCTGCGGGCACTAAATGGGTCGATGCCTTTGCCTGGCACACGAGACACACGGTGAGTGCAACCCACTGCCGTCACGTTAGGGCTGGGGTAGGCATATTGGCCACGGCAGCTTTCTTCCACATGAAGGAAGTGCCGTCAGCTCTCACCCTCCCATTCTCTCTGCACTGTTGCCTTACCTGGTAGGTGACTTTTGCAAGAAAATGGGTGAGCACAACCAGCCCTTCTTTTCTGGGGCTCCTTTGCACCAGGAGCCTTACGGGTGGGAAGTATGACCCCGGGGAGTCATCTCAGAAAGCCCACTTTCCAAGGACAAAGGCCATGCACTACCTGCAGCTTTTCCAGTGAAAAGGGAAGTATTTGGCACCCATTACCTTACCACACTTCACTTCTTTCTCAATTAAGGTAAGAACTCAGGTCAGGACAGGCAGTCTCACACCTGGACAGCCTAGTTAAAGGGTGCACAGTGGCTCGTAATGGCCTATCTACCATCTGAGCTCACCAGGGTGTCTCCTCTGTCCTCCTGTCCCTCCAGCTTCTGGCTTCCTACTCTTAGGGGTCCCCAGGACGCCCACTTCTCTCCAGGTTCTATCAGCGGGTCTACCCATTCCTCACTGGCAGCGCCTTCTCCACCCCTTGGCTGACTCCACCCTCACCTGGTTGTACACGCAGGTACAGCCTGGTGGCGCTCAGTCCAAAGCCTTCACTCTCCACCTCCACAGCTCCTGAAGTCCTCACCTCTTCCCCTACCTGATCCACCAGACGTGAAGCCTGTGGGTCCAAAGGTACTCAAAACCCTCCTGACCCACAACGGGTCAAGTCCTGACATGGGAGTCACCTATGACCTATGTTGAATTTTAACTTCAGATAGACAACAACTTGGTGTAAGTATGTCCTAAACATTCCCGGGGGGTGGGGGTGGGGTGTAAAAATACTATCTGAAATCTAAGTTTACCTGAGCATCCTGTGTATTTATTCGCTAAATCCCACACCCTTATGTACGTCCCTCCCCTTTCCTCATACTCACATCCAGGATTGGCACCCCGATGCCTTCTGCACCACCAGTGGCTGACATCCTCTCCACGCTGCGGAGCCTTCCTGGCTAGTAGGCCGGTGGGGAGGGGATCTGCAGGGCACCGGTGACCTGGTGTGTGCTCACCCCAGCACCATGGCCATAAGCCTTCCCTCCCTGGGTTTGGTCCATCTCATCCTTCACCTCCCTGACTTCCCCCATCAGAAGAGCACATTTCACCCTGCTCCTCCCTGCTCTCCATCCTCGCCGTTCTCCCTCTCCCTCCCAACAGGGGCAATGAACATTACTGTTACATAAACTATTTTATTTAAATAAAATCGGGGCAGACCCTTTTCCCCCATACACACAGGCACATGCATGCACGCACGCACGCCCACATCCTCCCTCTCTTCCCTCCACCCATGGCCACCTCAAACCTGGAGGTTCTCATCATGACCATCCTACCTCGACCCTGGGACAGGGGGACACCTTCCATGCGAAGGCCCACTCCTCCCCTGGTCAGTGGCAGCAGCTCATAGGCCTAGGCACAAGGTCTCCTGCCCAGAGTCCAGCTCTCAGCCCTCCCGGCGTGGGACAGGATCAGTCCTCCAAAGGCACCCAGATCCAGTGTAGCTCCCCACCTTTCCCCATACACAGCGTGGGAGCACCGCCAGACACGTGGAGCTGCTCCCCACGGAGGGCGAGCCCCCTCACCCCAGGCCAGCCCCTCCCCATATCAGCAGAGGATCTACAGCCAAACCTGAGCATTCCCCCTTAAGGGATCCTGGACTAGGTATTGTTTGGTTTGGGGAAGAGCAATGGAGAGCAATTGAGCACCAAATTCCCTAACTCCAACCCTGTAGGAGGGTGCTGAGATTTGGCTCTGCATCCTCTACCCAGAAAAAGTAAATAAACCTAACCCCGCAGCAGGACTGGCAAGGGTTTCAGCCACCGGGACTTCACTACGTCCCCACCCCATAACACGGACCTGCTAGCACCTTGGCAATGTTAAGGGCCCAGCCTAGAAACGCGATGCACACGGGAGTCCCCTGTGTTGACACTGGGGTTGGTTTCACCTTCCCTGACCCCAGTACCCCTCAAGTCCTGCTCTGAGGCACACACAGCAAAGCAGCTTAGGTCACGAGGAGGGAGCGCTGAAGGGACCAGTGGTGTCTCCCAGAGGCAGAGAGTCCCACAGCACATCTTACATGTTACACACAGGCAGGCTGGGACAGGACCAGGACAGCGGGCTGCCAGGAGAGCTCAGCAGCATCCGTAGGGCCCACCTGGGAGATGGGGAGGTGGGAGGGGCACCTGTCCGTTCACTGAAAGCTGGGGAACCAAGATGCGGGGACTCGGGTCCAGCACCCACCTTCTCTGATGGCTTCCCTGTGCCTTCTAGATAAATTTCCCTGAGGGGGGAAAATCCAGACAGATGGAAGAAGTCAGAAGGGGACAGCAAAGGGGATCACACAGACAGTGAGGAGCCAGCAGGAGGAGAGAGCCAAAGACAAGCCTTCCGAGGGGGTAAGGCAAAGAGAGGGGCCACCCGCGGGAAAGCCAGACACGAAGAGCCACGCCGACCCCTCTGAGGGGGAGCTGGGAGCCTGAGGGCCCTCCCCGGGCCAGTGGTGGTAAGAGTCGCACCAGCCACCCTGAGCGGGGTGGGGGGCTACAGGCTGACACTGCGCTGGTGACGGCCCCCGCGGCCTGCGCCGTCACTGCCCCGGCGACCCCCGCCCCGGGAACCCAGCTCCTGGCCGTCCAGACTGGTGTGGTCGGAGAGGCCCCGCAGGTGCTCTACCGAGTCGCACTTCTGCAGGTCCGAGGCCACCGTGCGCAGGCTCAGCAGGCTCAGAGTGTCCGTGTCGCGCGCAGGCCCAGGCCCCAGGCTGACGCCCTCCTCCAAACCCCCGCCCTCGGCCCCCTCGATGATCCCGCTGTCCCCATCCTCGCCAGCATCGGGCCCGGCCTCGGCCCCGACGGGGGAGGAGCGCCGCTGGCCCGCGGGATGCGCGGGCTGGCCCCGGCGCCGCGCATGAATCTGCTCGCTGATCTGCTCCAGGTTGCGCAGGGCGACGGAGTAGCGGGTCTTAGCCTGGGCCACCTGCTGCTCCAGCTCTGTCACCTTGGCCTTGTGCTCCTGCAGAGGGAGGGACAGAGGGGGGAATCTTCTGGACAACTCTCCGAGGCCCCCAGGGATGCCGAGTCCTGGCAGCTGCACTCAGCATCCTGCGCCTCTGCCAGGTCCGGCCCGACCCTGCGCACCACCAGTCACCAATCCGCAGGGCTCCAAAGGCCACACCCAGTCCCTCTTCACTCCTCCTTCTCAGGTCCTCCTTCCCCACCGACCTGCCCTGCTCCTGCCTGACCTTCCAGGGCCTTCTTCCCAGGTCTTCATTCCCACCCACTCCCCCTCCTCTCCCCACTGTTCCTTTTCCTCTTCCCTGTTCCCCCCCAATTCTCACTTCTTCCCCTTTACTTCCCTTCTCCGCCAGCATCCACCCTCCCCATCATCCCACATCCCACTCCCGCAGGGTCATTCTGAGCTCTTGCGCCACCACCCGCCCCACCACACTGGCCTGGGGCATAGCCCAGAGCAGCAGACCCGTGCCTCCCTTTCTATGCTTGCCCCTCCCCAGCTGTCCACCCAACCCTCTGCCCCCACTCAGCTACCTCCAGGATCTGGCTGAACTGGGCCTTGAGCTCAAAGTAGGGGCGGCTCTTGCCAATGGCGCGCCGGAGGGTCTTCTGCAGGGCCTGAACCCGGGCCTCAGCCTGCTGACACAGCCGCGTCACCCGCTGGTGCTCCCGCTCACCACGAAGCCGCTCCTCCTCTGCTTCGTTCACCTGGCCCAGTTAGGGTAGAGGACTCACATCACTGAGCTCGGACCCACACTCCAGCCCCTATAGTCTGTCCCAGGCTGCCACTCCGAATGTTACATTGGCAGGAATCCCCCACTGTCTGCAGAGCCCGGAGAGGGCAGCGAGCTCCCGAGACACAAAAGAGAACAGTGAGTTCTTATACCTGCCTGTTGTTACCTGCACCACCCACCTCTCAGCCTTACTGCCACCAGGAGGTGCGGGGGCCCTCTGGACCACTCGTGAGCGTGTAGGGAATGTCCGTCTGTGAGCACCCGTGCCACAGCCACGGTCCTCAGAGTTCCCTCAGTGCTGGGGGCTGGGGCTGGGGGAAGGGGAGAGCCTCGCTGTGGGGAGCCACCGCTCAGCACTGCGTTCTCCAGACGTCCGTGCCTGAGCAGGCAGCAGGCAAAGGCTCCAGCCACCACATCCACCAGGACCAAGGAGCTGGCCTCACCATACCCTGGGCAGATGCGCGCTAGAGCCGCACCACATCCTGCCCCACGCAGCCTGGACAACCCCTCCCCCAGTGCTGTGTCGTCCCTCTGTGCGAGCTCCAAGTGGAAGCGGAGCTCCTGCTTTGGGCAAGGCCATGGGCCTGAACTAAGGGGCACACAAAGAGCCTTGAGACAGGACCACTCCTCAGAGGCTGACACTTACTGCCAAGGACTGAACGCCTGTGGCCCCCAAAATTCTAGCATGGAAATCCTAACCCCTGAGGTGATGGCAGTGGAGGTGGGCCCTCTGAGACGTGATGGGGTCATGAGGGGAGAAAGCTCACGAATGGAATTAGTTTCCTTATGAAAGAGCCCCTGGAGAGCTCCCAAGCCCCGTCAGCCATGTGGGAAGACAGTGACCAGACAGCTGGCTGTCTAGGAGCCGGGAGGCAAGCCCTCAGCAGACGCCACATCTGCCTATGCCTTGACGTTAGAGACATGGACGTGTGTGGTGTAAGCTGCCCAGCCTCACTGTGGGGTTGTGACGGCCCTAAAAGACTAAGACACTTGCCCTTTACGAGGTGAAGGTGGCAGGCTGGAGCGGATGCCAAGGGCCCTCCTGCTCCCTGGTCCCCCACAGGGCAGCTCGGAAGTGATATACAAGTTACACTTCAAAAATCAAGGTCTAACGGCAGAGCTCAGAAGCGAGAAAGGGAGAACATTCTGAAAAACAGAAGTGACGGGTCACAGCTAAACGTAACAAAGGCACTGAATCCAGAGCATTCAGTAGGAATGAACCGCTGGGTTAGTCCCACATCTGGAAGCAAAGGTTCAAGAAGAGCCCAGAAAGACATCCTAAGTCAGAAGGAAATGTACATGGGACACACTGGACGCCAAAAATGGGCAAAGAGCTAACAGGTTTTCCCTAAAACCGAATCAAAGCTGAGGGAAGGCTGCAGGAGAGAGTGAGAAAAGATGAAGGGATGACAAAGAAAGTGCCGGAACCAGCAGAGGGGACCCGCTGGCACTGCCTAGCTCACCTTGCAGGTGGCGTGGTTGAGCATCTCCTGCCACGTGGGGTCCAGCCGGTTCTTGTCAGCCATGACACCCTGCTCGGCCACAAACACCATCTCCCGGGCAGCGTTGTGCATGCTCACGGCCCGCTCGTACCGCAGCGCTGCCTTCTGTGTCTCCTGCTGGGCCTAGGGGAAAAGGGTCGTCAGGACAGGGAGCCCCACAAGAGACCCCTGACTGCCTATGGAGACCAACCCTGGGCAAGGACAAGAGAAGGAGGAAGGCCCACTGCAACGCTGGCTTTACTTCCCAAACTGCACCAAGGATAAGTGCCAAGAAAGTAAAACTCTACAAAGAATATTTTGTAAGGATATAGCTAAGAGAAGAGATACGGGTACATAGAGAAGGGTACTGCCAAAGGAGGCTGAGTGTGTAAAATCCAGCACCATCAAAGGCTGCTGGCCTTTTGCCCTGGAGAGAAGAAAAATCCACACCACTTCAGCGGGAAGGTGCTTAGTTGCTGATTGATACAATCCACTCCAGTCCAGCAGGTAAGTGAATGAAACTCACCAACTTGAGTTCTCAGTTACAGAGAACTGGCTAAAAAAATAACAATACACCTAATATAAGGAAATATTAAACAGCCCTTAAAAATAATGGCATGGATGATACTGACTGACATGAAACCACGTCGTAAGGAAAATAAAGGAATAAAAATAGTGCATGTTATCCTGTTTTGGCAGAAATATATACCAAAAAAAAAAGTTAAGGGGTTATCTGTGCTGTATTAACCACATTTTTTACTTTCTATATTTGATGATGCTTTGACACCTTGGAAGCCATGCTGGTCCTCCGAGGGCGAGCTAACTCCCAGAGACGGTGAACTCCTGCTAGCAAACCTTTCATGTGCAAATCAACCAATCCAAAGCCCACACCAAGGATGCGAGTTTCAGGCCAAGGGGAAGAGTGGGCGAGGCAAATACACCCAGGAACAAGCTTGTCAAGTTCAAGGCATTTTGAGTGTTTCCTGTATTCTTTGGTCTTCTGGAGACCTTCGCTTGCAGCCGCTTTTATCTAACACTCACACAGCAAGCCCGTGTTTCCCCTGCCCTAAATCACCAGAGGGCCACGTACCAGAAAACTGGAGAGAACATCCCTCTAGCCCAGAGCCCACTAGTTTCAAACTAGCCTACACTGCTTTACCCATTCCTTCCCGTGGAAACCAACCACAGTAAAGGTCTACGATAAAAGCTCTGGGCCGAGCGTTCCCCGCAGGCTTGCTGCCTCCTCGCCGGCCCAGGCGCTTCCCCACGCAGCCCTGCACGATGCGGACTGTCCTTTCTCCTTAGGAGATGTAAGTAATAGGCTCTTCTTTCAAAGCAGTTGTCTGTGTCTGCCGCCTCACCATACTTGACTAACACAAGTCCCAGGTACAAAAATCATGAAGCATAGACATAGCAGGATTTGGGGAGATTCTGGTTCTCTTGTTTTATAGTTACAGGTTACAGTTACAGTCTTGCAACAGTGAACTGACATCACTTGTGTAAAGAAAACAATTAAGGAGGAAGGGTCAAGGAGTGGAGAGGTAAGCCAAGAGAATAGATACATGAACCACAGGGAAGAGAAGGGAGAAAAGACATTAGAAAAGGTGTTCCGTCTCACACCCCACACAGAGATTAGGGTGTGGGGCCCGGCTCTGCACGCAGCCCCCCGGGAGGTGGGTCAGCGGGCAGTAAGTACCTCCTTAGCCAGCCGCCGAGCCTCGTAGTAAGGCCGGGCCTTCTCGATGCAGCTCCCCAGGTGGGAGCCCTGTGTGTTGAGCTTCCTCGCCGACTCCTGCAGGATCCTCCGGTAGGTGGTCCTGGCCTCCTGGCACAAGGAGAGGGATGTGGGCAGAGGGGATCACGCATGTGGGTCCCAGCCCCTCTTATCTCTCATATACGCCCCTTCCCCAGCTGCTGGACAGGAAGAGGAGGCATATGAACTCCAGAGCCAACCCAAGGGATGAAGAAAAGGAGCCAGCACTCACATCCAGCTGCAGCTCCACCTGGTTGATCTCCTCACTGGCCTGGTTCAGATGCTCCAGCTCCTCCTGCCACAGAGAGGGGCAGCAAGTTAGAGCAGGTGGAGGTAAGCAGCCTCCCACGAACCAGGCGGGGTAGGAGCACAGTGCACAGACAGAAGGCCCAGCTGACCAGGGAGGGGGACAGACAGGGGAGAAGGTCACTGTCAAGTGCCTCCTTGTCAGAGACCTAAGATACAGCCTCCTGTGATCCTCACAACTCCACCTCTGTATCAGGAAGTAAAAGCCCCCATTTTAAAGATAAGAAGACTGAGGTTCAGACAGTGAACACACGTACACATGTAGTGAAGTGGCAACAAGCCTGTGTCTCTCCATCAGACTGCACCACCTCCTCCTCACTCCCCAGCCAGGAGTCTCCTCAGACCGAAGTCTCTGACCCAGAGAGGACAAGACCCCGCTCAGCACACATGTACCACACACTTAGCACAGCTCAGCACCATGAGGCCTGAGAATTCAGAACACAGAGAGGTGGCAGCTCGCAGCCACAGGCCCTCCGGGGCGTGAAGGACCATGTGAGGGGTGGGCATGGCAGGAACTGGGGATCAACAGGAGAGAAGGTGCTCAGGCAGGCAGGCTGTGAGGTGAGCAGCCGGAGAGGCTGAGGCACAGGGGAGAGGATACTAGGGCTTGTCCCAGTGGCAGAGGGAACCCCTCAGAGCCGGGTGCCACCTGGTCTGCGCTTTAGGAAGGCCGATCTGGGCCATGCAGAGAAAGCTTGGAGACAAGGAGACAGGGAGACAAAAGTGGAGGCCATCTGTAGGTGGGAGAGGGGAGGGCAGATCCCAGGGAAATACAGGACGCAGAATCATCAGGACTGTGTGGACAATTCAGGTTAAGATTAGAGCCTCCAGGCCTGCTTGGGCAGTGGTGACAGCGACCCCAGGTCCCCACACAGCAGATCCTGTGGGAGGGAGGGAGAGCCTCAGGAGGAAGTCACCAGGCGTGCTGGCCTGAGGGCCCCAGCGGCCCCAGGGCTGGCAAAAGCAGCGACAGAATCTCCCAGGGCCCTTCAGTGTCAAGGCAGAGGGCAGGGAGGGCACAGCCTTGAATCGCCTCCCTTCCCCTCCCCTCGGTCAAGTTCCTGGAGGCCAGGGAGCCGAGGACAATCCTGAGGAGGAGCAATGCACAGAGAAACGCCCAGTGCCCAGCTACAGGATTCCCCTCCCGGAGCCCTGCAGCCCACGCACAGGCCAGCGGCAGCCAGCCTGGTGTCTGTCTGCCTGCTGCCCCTGGCCCAGGCGCGACCTGCACTTGGCAGTGGGCCACACTGCTCCCGCACATGGCATCTGGCCCTCCCAACCACCCGGTGTCTGATCCCCCTTCAGTCATTTTTTTCTTTCTGTATCCCAGTTCAAGCTCTAAAAGATCTGAGTCAGCAAGTAAGGATCCAAAAAACCAAGTTATTCACCCTAATTACAGTAAGAGGTGGAACACAATGGAAGAAACAAATAACAAAACCAGGAAGAAAGACAGGAGAATACACATACCACAGCAGTGCAGACACTGCCTCAGGGAGGGCCACAAATGTGGCTCTCAACTTGCCAGAGCAGAGCTGTCCAACAGAAATATATTATGAGCCTCCTATGGAATCTGTAGTTCTCTAGATGCCATATTTTTTTTAAAAAAGCAAAACCAAAGAGATGAGCCTGCAATAACACATTTTATTTAACCCAATATATCCAAAATATCGTAATTTCAACATGTTATAGCAACATAAAATAATTACGACCAACATTTCTACATTCTTTTTTTTTAACTATGCCTTTGAAATCCCACGTGCATCTGACTTTAGGGCACACCTCAACTTGGGACAGTGGCGTGTGGCTTCCAAAACTCACGTAATAACATAAATTAACTATACCTCAATTTAAAAAAAAATACTTAAGTGCAGGCAAGTTGCTGCACATGGGCAATGTGATCAGCCACACAACCCACACAACCCAGTGCTCATAAAGCAACAGCAAGCCACTGTGGAACCACGAGCAGCCTCCAAGGCTCAGAAGACGCCAGAGGAAGCCCGAGGGCAGTGCCAACACCCCCCAACACACAAAGCGCTGCGTTTCACAGTGCTGTCCTAACAAGGATGTCACCTTCATCTGATGAGATCGCCACAAAGGGCCCTCAGAAAAAGCAATTCCTGTCAGGGTGAGGGGCAGTCCTCCCTCTGTGGGCCCAGCCTTCTGGGGCTGAACTTGGCTCACAGGGGGTTTCAGACAATCAAAGAGAGGAGGTGACCAGTCCTTTCAGCAGCTCCCAATGGAATATTCTTTCTCAGCTTATTCACATTTGACAGACAGGAAACAGTAAGACAGGGAATCAGAGACAGAAGTGGGACTGGATCTAGGACCTGACCTTTTATCTGGCCCTCCTGATACTGGTGACCACCCTCCTAGGACTAAGGATGCCCGTGAATGGCTGTCTCAAAGACATCAGTACCACCATCGAGGAGAACCACAGCCCTGGTAGGAAAGCACTAATTGTGGGGGAGAAGAGAAGGAGGTGGGCGGAGGGCACGCTGCAGTATTCCTGTGGGTGAACCAAGGTCCAAGCCTGGAGCCCACTTGGTTCCACAGCCCAAAGGGCTCCCAGACCCTGACAAGATCATTAGAGGAGTGAACAGCTCGATGCAAGTCATCCTCACTGGAAAATGAATGTGAAAGGCTCTGGCTGTGGGCCCACAGAAGCAGGCACATCTTTCCATACAGAAACTCATACCTGCGAAGCACCTCCAGCAATGAAAAAAAGCCTTTTGCTGACTCTGAGGTCTGCCCCTTCAGAGTCACAAAGCTTTTTCTAACAAGACAAGGAGACGGGCGAGCAGAGCAGGCTGGAGGCCAGGGTGGGAGCAGCCAGGCTGGGGCAGACCCAGGACAAAGCAGAGCAGGAAGCCAGCAAGCACCCGGGGCTCTGTTCTAGGCTGTTGGTGCCACATTCCATTTGGTCTGCTCCACCAGGGACTCCTGGCATCTGGCTGAGATGGAATGCGAGGAGGATGAGGTCTGAGTCAGCGTGCATCATCCATCAGAAAGCCTGCAGCCAGCAGGGAGAGTGACCTTCCCGGAGCAGACCAGGCACATTCCCAGGACACCAGGCCATGGAGCCAAAGGCATGGATGCTCAGGCTAGAGACGCTCCTGCCCACCTCGGGCAGGCCACTAAAATACTCACGCCCAAAACGGAGTATCATCTTTAAAAACTGTGAACCACTACATTGTACACCTGAAACAACTTAGGTAATACTGTAAATCAACTATACCTCAATTAAAAAACAAACACAAAACTCAAGCCCACAGTCAGTCAGCAGGGCCAGGGTGAGATCCATAACCCGAAGACGCAGAAATAAGGTAAAAACAACCGCCCTGCAAAAGCTAAACTGACACTTTGGCAGAAGTCACAAAGTCACCCTGAAGAGTGTGAGGAGGAGGAGGTCAGTGGACGCATCCACTTACTTGGGGAAAGAACGTGACCATCACAAAGAGGCCCGAGAAGTCACAGGGGAGGAGAACCAGGCCCCTCCTAGTACTGCCCTCCTCCACTCCTTCCTGCCCCTGGGACCCTGGAGCTCTCAGAAAACTGAGGACCAGCCTGGAGGCCTCAGAGAGTATGTCCATTTCAAGACACAGTCACATTCAGTTGACTTCCCTGGCAGACAGCACACTCCGGGCAGGCCTGGCTTCCCTCCAGCTTCAACAGGGATCCCACCAGACAATGGGGGGCACAAGCTGCCTGCCTGCCAAGAATCCCCACTTCCCACGTCAGAAAGAGCCTCACCCTAAGGGACCATTTCTGGCCGTTCCAGAAAATACCTGAACAGGGTATCTCCAGCTCAGCGGACTCACCCAGGCTGCATGTTAGAACCACTTCTTGCCCCACCCAGAAGGAGAATTCACAAGTCTGGCACGGCTCAGGAATGGGTGTTTTTCAAGCCCCAGGAGGTTCTGATGGAGCTGTGGGTACAGACCCACTGAATGCACTGATCCAAAGTTCTGAAACGCAGTACCAGGATAACATGATCCTGTACACTGTCAACACTAAAAGGGACCTCCAGACACACACCTCTATCTTTCTCTCATCCAGAAGAGCCCAAACCCAGAAGATCCAAATGCCACCGGCCTCCTCCATGAAGGGTGCCCCTCACACAAGGCTGGCTCTCTCACGCAGCAGGGAGACGCTGAAACCCTGCTGAGAACAGAGCACTGGCCCAGCCCAGCTTCATCAATGAGGGAGGCCTCTGCAAGACTTTGCCTCCCTACATAACCCACAACACTCCACAATGTGTCTCCCAGTTTAGCAAGAGACTAGGGTCTGCCTACCTCCCCCCCAACCCTGCCCGTTCCAGTAACACTGCAAGGTCACTGACGGCCGGGTGAATCTTTCTCCTGCTCAGCATTCTCTGGCCCTCAGAGCTCACACCAGACAACTGTCTACGGGGACAGAGATGTTCTGCTTGTGCACTGCCAACAGCACCTGGGGAAAGGCACTTTTGCTTTTTATTTAATCGTAATTGATTTTATTTAAGTTATCCACACGCGGCTGGCGGCTACTTTATTGGACACCGCAGCACGAGGGTGCCTTTTCATCCTACCACCTTTGCCTGTGTGGGCACTGGAAAAATATGCAGGAGCAGGAGAGACTGAGCAAAGAAGCGGGAGTGGATTCTCCTCTGGAGTGGGGCAATGAATGCTGCAGGGAAGTGTGTGAAGGGCTTCAACAAAGCCCTCCTCCCTGACATGCAGGGGTCTCTTTCCCAAAGTGTGACCTACAAACTTCCACCAAGAGACAGGAAAAGGGAGCTTGTGAAAGAAAAGAATCAGAGCGGGAAGGAGCTGTGCAAATTAGCTAGACTAACCGTTCACTTTACAGATAAAGAAACTGAGGCTCGGAAAGGTTATGTAACTTGCATGAAAATCACATCATTGGACTAGAGGCTGCTTGAATCTCAGCCCAAGGCTTTTTTCACTACAACTTGTTTCCTTGGTGTACGAAGAATCTACAGTACCAGCAGGAGAAACTGAGCTGTTTTCAATGTAATGCCCATGAAACACAGCAGAAATAAATTACTGACTCATGCCAGCAAACAAATAGTTCACCACTGCTCCACTGTAAACATGGACACAGCTTCCCCACACACATCCTGGGAACCCCAACCATGAGAGGGCAGGAAGGATGCTAGAACCAGCTTTGATTTCTTCTTGACTCACTGAAGTACTCTAATAAAGGTCTGTTGACAGAGAAGCCTGGGAATGTGAGCCCTGGGACACTCCTCCTCACCTACAGAGGCGTGAGCCACCTCCATGTCAGAATCCTGGAGATGCTACCATACCAAATGGCAGGCTCAGGCCCCAAATACCCAGGACCATCCTGACCTTCACCTGCCGAAGCAGCTTCTCCAGGGAGCCCTTCTCTGTTGCCGCCTGGAAACTGCAATCCAGCTCAGCTGGCCATGTATCTACTCCACGTGGTGCCTGTCCTCACCCACTGCTCCCAGGTCTCCTTCACAAAGTTCTGCCCCTCTACCAACTAGCCAATTAATGCTCCAAAACAATAAATCAGCTCTTCCATTCATCCGATAGACCCAACATCCTCAGAGCCAGAAATCTGTATTATGAAGGACTGACCACAGCTCATACATGTCTCTGAACACATCAGATTTCCTCAGAGGCCTAAGCCTGATGTCACCTTTATGAGACATGAAAAGTCTCACCTTTCACAAATGTGAATGTCCCTGGGAGGCACTGATGAGAAGATGAAAGAAGGGAAAAGATTCAAAACTGCCTTCTGATCTCAAAGTCATCTCACATCCCACTCACGCTGCATCTCCGAGCCAACAGCCCCTTTGCTTTTTTTTTAAATATTTTTATTTAAGTATAATCAATTTACAATGTTGTGTCAATTTCTGGTGTACAGCACAATTACTTCAGTCATGTAGAAATATACATATATTTGTTTTCATATTCTTTTTAGCCATAAGTTACTATACGATATTAATTATAGTTCCCTGTGCTATACAGTAGAAACTAGTTGTGTATCTCCCTTTGTTTACTCGGAAAAGAAACAACAGTTCGACTGTCTCCTGACCTAAAGTGTGCTTCCTGCATCTGCTGCCAATTTGTCACTTCACTTCATCAGGGAAGCCTTCAGCAACATGCCCCAGGCACTCAGGCCCGGCCTTTCTCTGTACTCCCACTGCACACAACTCTTGTGGCACTAGTCACACTGTGTTGCAATGATTTGTTGACAAACTTGTTTTCCCTTCCTGCCTAAGTGCACTGGGAAAAGAGTTAAGTCCAACCCCTCATTTATCGGACAGCTCTTCAGAAACACTGGCATCTAAGCTCCCTGTGTCTCCCCTAGCTCAGTCTTCTCACCTGTATTCTAGGATCCAGCTCTTCTTCTTCTCTTGGGGACAATTTGGCTTCACTGCTGTTGCTTCCGCCTCCTCCGGGCTCCTCTGCGACAGGGCTCCGAGGGACTTCATCCTCTACAACTTCCGGCCGAAGCTCCCCCTGTGGGGTCTCCCGCCCCCCTGGAACCTGCCTGAGTTCAGCCATGCTGACAGGGAGAGGGCAGAGCCCTATGCATAAGAGAGGATTGACATGCTGGGACCAGGGCCCCAGCTTGGGGCTTACTGGGCTCTGGGTGGACAGAAGGGTTTCTCTTCTCAAAGGGCAGATAGAGAGGGCACAGGAGGGATTTCACACTCGGTTAGAGACCAAGATTCAGGTTGTCGGTGGGGTCCCTAGAGCTACAGCCTTGTATGTGCAAAAGTTCTTCCCTCCCCGTCCCAAGGAGTCCACTAGGAAAGACCCGGAGCAACAGCTCCGAGGCAGGGGGCAAAGGGGGCCTGGATCCTGGGCCGAGGCCTGCGAGAAGGAGCACCATTCGGGAGGGCGGAGGCAGGCGCCTCCAGGCTGTGGTGGCAACTGGAGAGAGACGGCTGGGCCTGAGCAGAGGCTGCGGGATGAGTCTCTGGGGAGCTGCAGGGGAAACAAAGGCCCAGTCCATAGTCAGCACTAGAACGTCGGCCACCAGCTCCTTTCAATCCCTTAACCTCCCAAGGACTCCACTCTCTTCCCCGCACACCCCCACGTTCAGACCAACCCCTGAACTTTCCCGCGTTCCAGGATCTCTCGCCCCAGCCCCTCCCCCACCAGCACCTCCCAGACTTCCCTCTGTGCTCTCATCCTCCCCACTATCCCCCGGCTTCTCTTCCGCCAGCCCCATTCCACTCCCCCTCCCCCGGCTTTGCAAATCACCTTGTAACCCCCAGCCCCACCCCATCTCCTCTTCTCTCTCCAACCCTGCGGACAATCCGAGCCTCCCGTTTCCAACCCCACTCTTCTGCAATCCCGAGGACCCTGGCCCCAGACCTCCTACACAGCCGGGCGCAAACCCACACACCCCCCGCGAACCCTTTCCAGTTTTACCTCAGTTTACCTTCCCGTGCGCCGAGGTTCTGCACTGCAAACAATCTTCCCCCGCCCTCCCCGCAACAAGCCGGTCCAACCAAATACGATGTGGCCGATAGGAAGCGGAAATACATCATCAGGTAGCAACGCCCCCCCCGCCCCGCCCCGCCCTCGCGCCCCTCCCTCGCACGCTCCCCTGCTAACCCGGCCACATCTGGATCCCCAACACTCGTCCCGCCCAGCCTTCGGTTTCCGTACAAAATGGTGCCTCACGGCGCGCAGGTTCGCCGTACGTCGCCTCCAGCCCATCCTTCACCAGGGCAAAATGAACTTGAAATGTGGGCGTGTGTGCTGAGAAAAAACTGGGGCAGGGGATGAAGGTCGAGAGTCCCTGGTGGGCAGGGAAGTGCTAGAAGTAAAACGGAGCGCGGACAATCACCGCAGAGAGAGCGCTGCCATCTTGCTTTACGGCCCCCAAAGCCACTTCCGGGCCCGCCCAGGAAGTGGGAGGTGGGCTTGTGGACTTCCGGCGGCGGCGCTCCTGGAGGTCCGAGTGGGCACCTGAGGTCTCTGCTGCTGGATTGTGGCGTGCTCTCCTCACGCAGTTGAAGTAAGCGGTACGCTCAGTTAGTAACGGTGTCTAAAGGGCAAATTTGATAGGTAAATGCCTCTGCTCGAGGCCTGCCGCCGCCAACACGACGGCCCCTCAGCGAGCCAGGCCGTTTCCCACTGAACGTCGTTGCAGTGCGGTCACTGACTCCCCCATGAGCAGTCGTTAGAAACTTAATTAATCTGAATTCAGGGTTCTTGTGCGCTCAGTGCTCAACAGCCCGCGAGGAGGAGGAGTTGTTACATGGTTTTGTGCGTCAGTGAAAAAACCTGACCTGAAATCACCACTTCTAGGTGTCGCCAGGAGACGCTTAAGGGAAAGGCTTCAGGATGGACGTTTTATTTTTGCCAAAAAGATCTAACCTCCTGTGAGCCTGCTCAAGATTTGCCCTGGGGTGAAGAAGGCAAATGGATTGGATTTTCCTTCTTTCCTTTGGATCCTGTCCTTCCAGTCCCTCGTCCCATGAATAACCACATAAATTTTTTTTTAAGTAGAACCAATACATTCTTTTTTTCAATACATTCTTTAAAAAGTGATTTAAAAGAAGTTTTTCCACAAAATTGAAAATTTTATTTTTAAAATTCCAGAAGTGACTTTTCTCACTTCAGTGAATCAGCGAGACCCTGAGTAACAGTTGTAAGTGGACAGATCTGATGGATAATAATACCTCAGTCTTCTATCACATTCCATTTTGCTATTAAGGTTCCATATAAAAGCCATGAAAATTACATATGGAAATTGGAAGCTATTTATTTGTTCTTTTCTTTTGTAAAACTGAATTTTACTGTAATGTATTTCATTTTACCCATCATCTTCTGTGTACCCTAGCCTGAATTTTCTGAGCCTTTCCTATTCAGCACTACTACAGTATCTACTGTCCTTATACCTTGTCCCACATCATCTTTTCCTCTATGTATTCATTCCTTAGCCTTCATGAGCTTCATATTGTCACATATCTCTTGCACTTGGTGGGAAAACATCTCGAATACATATAATGCCCAGACAGCCCCTAGATCACATCCCGGGGTTCAGTAGCCTCCCTGATGACTCCACTGGCCTCTGCCAGGGTTAACTCTCACTCGCTGAGGCCAAATGTGATCTCATCTTGTACAGATTATAATACAACCCCCAGCAGTTTTTTTTGCTGGGTTTGGATAATGTTTCAGGCAGGAAGAGGTTGGGGAGCACTGTGCGCTGACCTGTTTTATTGAGGCCAGAATAGCATGATGAGTTAAAAATTTTCTGTAGAGCAGCACTGTCCAATAGATATACCTGCAGTGATGGAAATGTTCTGTATGAGCTCTGTGTTGCATGGTAGCCACTAGTCATATGTAGCCATTGGGCACTTGAACCTAGTATTATTAAGGAATTGCGTTTTTACTTAATTTAAATAGCCACGTGTGGCCAGTGATTTCATTATTGGGCAAGGCAGTTCCCATCTAATCTCTTTCAGGCACATACTGAACTTTCACATCTTTAATACAAAACAAAACAAATGTCTCTCAATTTCCACCCTCATTGGTCTCATCTCCACTTCCTCACCTCCCATTTACTTCTGTAGTCTGGCTTCTGCTCATGCCAATCCACAGAAATTGCAGGGAGAAGCTCTGAACATCACCAAATCACTGATACCTGACACTGGGTTGTCTCTTCTCTCTTACAGTTCTTTAGTTTCTGAATCACACTTGTTGTGGGTTTCCTCTTATTTCTCTGACCTGTTGGTTAATTCCTTCATACAGTGTTCTCACCTGGGTGAAGGCAGTGTGCCAGGAGTTTGCATGTAGCTTATAGTCTGTGGTGCTCATTTTATAAATCAGTGATACTCAAACTAATCAGGCTGCAACCCAGAAACGAGTTTCACCTTGCAACCCAGTATACATATAGGTTTGTAAATATATTCGTAACAAAAAGTCTCAGGGAAAAAATCTTAATATTCAAAGCATGTTAATATTTGCTACACTATTTTTTAATGCTGATGGAGACCTATTCTGTTGATTTCATGAGCGATTCACAGTTTAAAAACCCTGCCCTACATGTCAGTGCTTCCCAGACTCTGATGCGAGTCCCTGACCTTCTCATGCTGTCTGGTTTCTCTGAAAGCCCTCACCTGAGTGCATGGCTCTGGCTCCTACCCAGGGCTCCTTCCTTGGAACTCTGTCTCCATCCAGATTCCCCACAGATCACATTTTGAGATCCAGCAACTTCTCAGACCACTGGCCAGTCCGAGGGTTGCCTCTTGTAGGGTACAAATCTGATTTCACTCCTTTTCTCAAATCCTGCTGCTTCTACTATATTTATTTTGTTGGTGAATGGTTCTAATCATCCACCCATTTACCCTAGGGAGAAACCTAGAAGACATTCTAAATGAATCCCCTGTCTTCACTGTGCATGACGTTAAGTATCTCAGAGAGCTCACTCTTCTCCATTTCTTTGCCATTGCTTCAGTGTAGACCCTCACCTCCACGTAGATAATATACCTCAAGAGGCTCCTAAATTAGCTCTGTAGAGTAGAACGTTGAGTGATGATGGAAATTTCTACATCCATTCTGTTCAATGTGGCAGCCATGTGTGGGGTGCTTGGGAACTTAAAATGTGGCTAGTGCAACTTAGGAACTAAAGTTTTAATTTAAGTTTAGATAGCCATATGTGGCTACTGATTAATGTATTGAACAGCACAAGTCCAGTAATCTCTCCACTACAAGTGTACCCGCTTCTAGTCCCTGAAACAAATAACCAACTAGCCCCTGTTGACTAAACTAGTGAATGACATGAAAATACGAAAGCCACGTAAAGAGGTTAGTAACACTATCAGTTACTAGGTCATGTCTCAGTGAAATAAAGTTTTCTCATAAATTCTTACTGGTAACTTAATCTCTTCACGCAAATAGTGTAAATTACCTTCATGTTTAAAAACCTTTTTTTTAGTTTGTTTTTTCCTACCAACAAAAACTACTTTTTTATGTTCTTTGATGTTTACGCCACTACCATCAATCAAATATGTAATAAATACTACCATCAGTTGCTAATTAAACACATTAGTTGACTAATGTATAGTGATAGCAGATTCAGTAGATGCCTAGGAGAGAGGTGGGAGAGATTACAAAGTGGCACACATAAACTTGTGGGCGGTTGGTATGTTCTCTGTCTTGACTGTAGTGAAGATTTGATTTGTGTACACATGTCAGCAGTTTTCAAACTGTACATTTCAATATGTGAGACTTGGTATATCAAGCATACCTCAGCAAAGCTGTTTTTTAAAAAGTCTGGTTGAATACTTGCTCCCAGAAATATATCATGTAACTTACTAATAAAGGTTAATGAAAGGGACAGCCTGTAATTGTCAAATCTCTGAATTATTTCTTCCCTTTTTAAATCAACTGAGTTTTTCAGTCCAGAAGTAAGTTTTTCCCCCTTACTTGCTGATCTCATTTGATAATAAAACACGTGGTGTTTATCTCGTACCAGGCACTGTTCTGCATGGTTTATATCTATCCATTTGATCCTCATCACAACCAGCTGAGGTATATTGTACCTCCATTTTACAATTGAGGGGACACGAGGTTAAATAACTTATCTAAGGTCATACTCCTGGTGCTGTGGTCGTAGTGGTGCCGGTCTTTGAACTCAGACAGTCCCAGTCCTTAGGCACAATAATAGACTGCCTCAATTAAGCTTCATGAGGAAAAGTATTTAGAATTATTTAAAATCTTTTCAACAACACATTATATGTTAATTTAAATATATCTGCTTAGAATTTAAATACCCTAATCTGTGAAAATAACCCAAAATTTCAAAATATTTTCTCAAGATGCTACAAGTTTGCATGTGACACTAGTTTTATCTGTATTACAGCTCTTACTTAGCCTTTAAAGTAGCTTCAGTCATAAAAACTGATTTTATCCCTACCTTGTATTTCACTTGGAAACTCATTTTCCCTGAAGGTTCTGCTTCATAATCTCATTTTCTATATCTTTGTTTTTTGTTTGTTTTTTGATAAGATAAAAATCTTATTAAAAACTATGACAGTGCAAAGTTATATTAAAATGAAGAATTTAAATTTTTGTCATCCCCTTTTGAATACATGTTATTTTATTTTTTTGTTATCTTACTTTATTTTATTGAGTTATAGTCAGTTTACAACGTTGTGTCAATTTCCAGTGTTCATTTTCTATATCTTATTTTGTGAACCACTGATTCCTAGATGTGAATTTTGAACATGACTTTGATCTAACATAACTTTTTTTAAAAAATGTTGTATTAGGACAAAGAAATGTCATCATTAAGGACTAGGACATCATTAAAGACTAAGAAAAAAAAGTTTGTATTTTAAAGAAAGTTGATGTTTAAAATCCTCTCAACAAATATTCTATTTTTACGCTATACTGTACCAAGTTTATACAGTTTACCTGTATCTCGTTTAGTATAGCTCTTCACAGTTGACATCTGTGAAGTTATTTGGGAAAACACTAGAATCTACCATGTTCTAGAGGCCAAGGTTTTTTTTTTTAAACTGAAGTATAGTCTAGTTACAATGTTGTGTTA